TTTATGAGTAATACCCTGAAGTACAGTACATGAACATTTATGTTTGTTTTGTAACCAAACGATCACATTTTCCTTCCTTCTGTTTCACAGATCTTGCTTCCTTATACTTCATGTTAAAAAAAAATTTGAATATTCAGTAATTGATTGAATATCGAAATGTTTGACTAATCGGTACAGCCATTCTATGTCTAATGATGCAACATTTGACAATTGATTCAATTTATTATTTTTTTTTGGTTTAAAGTTACATTTTCAGTCTCAGATGTTCAGCAGACTCACAGATTTGTTGCTGTAGAGTAGGTTGTGCAGGGCACAATACAATCAAACATGCTGAAATCATGCATGATCACTTGAGACCAAGAAGGTGTATGCTAGTGACAAAACTGGATTGAATTACAAAGGGGGGATTAGTGATGCCGTCCTCTTCAAGTATGAGACACGTGATCGAATCTAAATTATAAAATGATAGCTTAGCTGACTTTAGTGGACAAGTTAACTTAAATCTCAGTGCTACCTTGAAACTGTACAATTTCATATTCAAAATTGCTGAAACTACATGTACAATGAAAATTACGAAGTTCATACATTTCTTGTACTAGTGCCTATAATGCACAGGCTGCAACCTGGACTTTGACAAAAAAAACAGGAGTTAGGAGATTCTAATCTTTACAACACTTTGTAAAGTGTGCTTCAATTTTCAATGGCGTGGGTGTGAATTGAGCAACGAGGAAATCCACCCATCTGAGGAAAAGTTGCATGTCTGAATAATACGGGACTGATTTCACATGAGTTTCACCGACTAATTTCACATTGTCTGCAGTGTGGACAGATCCGGGTGGGACCGTTTGGAATTTTTCCCCATGGTTTTTCCATAAGGGCAGATGTAGTCATGAGGTAGTCATGTGCAGACAATGTACAAGAATGAAATAAGTTTTCGTTAGAACTACTCACCGCAATACAAGACAACCAGTTCATGAAAACACTAATCCAAAGCATCTATGGTACGGTACATCTCCAGCCACTTGATGGATCTACAGATGTGACCTTCGCTTGAAACATTCGCTTGAGATGCTGTTCAGGTCACTACTCCAGTATCACAATTCCATACATGTAAGTTTGTCCAAGAGTCCCAAAGCTAAATCAACCTTCTAACGAGTTCTAAAATGTTGATCTGCTGTCTTAAAACTGGCGACATGTCTTCCACAAGTACTGCACATCTTAGACTCTCGGCATGACAAATACCAGAGATTTCTGTAATAATCAAGAAAAATGAAAAAAGTATGAAAAGCTTGACTGATTTTTAAGATCAAATTTTCCAAAAGACTCGCAACTAGGCCTACTCATGACCCACGGTAAGACAGTCCTTTGACATGTAAAATGCAGCAGAGGAAAATTTTGGCTGTTTCGACTGGAAGGACTTACATGTATTATGTACTCTGCCATCAAAATGTCACGTATATGTCCGTTTTTGATATGGTAAGGTGCTGACAGGGGAGGTTCGTTTGCCTTATACTTCATTTGATGTGAAGTTTGCAAGGATTTTGCTTACCCACACCAAAAAACTGACAGCAGTACTCGCACATTTCACAATTTTAATTACATGAAAAGTAAACAAACCTCCCCAGTTGACATCTAAAGCTCTAACCATATCAAGAGAGGATTAATAAATATTCGTGACGGGTGAGTAATTTCTTACAAAGTAACCAAAATTTCCGATGATGCCTCGTACATGTCTAGCCGAAATATTTATAAACCTTTCAGTTCTGAAAGTATATTCCCCAGGGTGACACTGCAGATAGAAGTAGCCTCTCTACACACAGTCACCACTAATTTTTCCCTGCAGTGCCCTCAGGTATAAGCCACCTGAAAGTAATAAAATGTCCTAAAAAGTCAAAGATAGCATTGAAAATATTGAGGCATTCACTTGGAAAACAGAAGTTTTCAGACCGTGTCCCACACATCATGACATAGGCCCTAGGCCCTACAAACAGGACGTCAAGTGGCATCCACATACATGTACTGTATTTCTTTCCATAATATCAGGCCCTGACAGAGTTTTGCTCTTGAAAAGAGGTATTCACTTCGACAGTCAAAACAGCAATGAAATTCCCCTGACCGTGAGCCTCATCACAGGCTTGTACAACTTTAGAAATCGCACGCTTATGACCGTTTTCAACTTTCGTTGCTTACTTTTCGGGAGTTAAGAACTGACCCTGGTAACTCGTGTTTCCTACCTCCATGGTGTAACAATCACACCGGTGATCAAATGAACCACGACAACGTTCATGGGAATAAACACAACTGAACAGCAATTTACACAATTTTAACATCTCGCTTGACAACAAGATCTGTGTCCCGTGAACACACAACTACCGGTCATGGTGAGTGACCTACACGGCAAAACTTTACTTCACATACCGCCAAAATCTAGCCAGCAAGAAGTCCCAAATAGATCAGATTCCTTCCTCTGAAAAGCGTCTAATCTTCACCTAGACAACTCCTTTGGATTTCAGCCATACCATGCTTATGTTTAGTCGGTTCATGCTTCTAAATAAATTTGTTTTTCAGTCGGCATGAGAGGGTAGCTTCAGTTCTGTTGACTCAAAATCGCTTGTACAATCACACGTTGGGGATACGTGCAGACGAAATTCGTATTCATATTGTACAGTCCGTGCGTACGTGCGTGGTTGAATTATTCATTGGGTCTCATTACGCACGTTGCTAAGGGCAACGTGTGTCAATATATGACACCAGAAAGTGTGAAGAACTATACCCCGCAACTTAACTTAAGACGAGAGTTCTCAAAAATCTTTTAAACTTCCAACATAAAGTCTGACAAACACAACCGATTTGTTGGTCAGATATTTGTTCTCTTGGGGACAAATTTCTATCGCAGTTCCTTAGATTGCTCGAAGGGAATTTTACTGCCTGGAAACAGGGCCCTCAAAAGTGGCATGTATCAATCATGGAGGAAGGAAAATTCCTTCCTCCATGTATCAATGAACGATCTTTTCATTCACGCATGAGTGCCACTTTGTGGCAACCATAACGGTAGTGTTCGATCTCGGGTTAGGTCTGTTTACATGCAAATAAAATGACAATAAACACAGCAAACAAAAGGGAGAGATAATCGCGTCCGAATGTGGGATAAACACTCGACGCCCCACACTTGCCAAGGATTAGAGAGTGCTGGATTTAAAATGGCCATCTCGTGGCACGAGTATGAAAACGGGAATTAAGGAAAGGCCTAGAGGGCACTGCTCGCACACACGGAAAGACTGACATTAGATTTAAGTAATAATCTGTGCCATTGGCGAATTTCAATGTATTATATTTCAGCATACTTATCCGTACGTCAAAGAGGCCGAACCGTGTAAACAGATTTCAAAATGTGAAGACGGCCCGGGAGAGAATGAGAGCAAAAGATCATGGAGAGATTTAACTCGCACCAGCAGAAAAAAACACAAATCCCTTGTTTCCATACATTTTCTGGTTGATTAATTTTCTCTTTGCGGTGCTACGGTTAAGTTCAGTAACTTATTTTGCTCCGTGTGTTGGCTCAACACCCTTTTTGAGGCGGAGCAAAAAAAGGGGAGGCACACTCCCTGCTATGAGCTGAATTTCTTTTCGTGAATTCTACATTTTGTGGGAGAGCATGTGTGTAAAGATGTATCAAAATCAATACACTACTGCGATACACTTGATTCAGTATCTACTGTGTGCGACGTGCAGATTATTTTGTTTTTGTGAGAGAGGATGGTTGACTTGTGACTTGACAAAGGTTGATCAAATCAATTTCTGAAGGGCACAAATCATGTCATAACAAGCCCCCTCTTATATTTGGCCGCCCATTGACTCTCCTTTCTTCACTCTGTAAAGGGGCCCACCAAAAATGAAACAAAAATGTACCCCTTTTTGTTCTAACCACGGCGTTTTGTAATAATTTAGAGAAATCTACTGTGCAATTGCCGACCTCCTCTATAGCCTGGATTGGACGGCCCTATCATCCGACCTCCAAGTTGAGAAACTTTTGGGGCTTCACTCAGTGCAATCGTGACGAAGCCCTCACGTTGACTGATGGTTATCGAGATCGATCAATCAGCCAACCAGTGGTTCTAGTGTGCTGCCCTCTGTTGATAGGTTACTGAGTTAGTATTTTTCGTCTAGCGAACTTTTGGCACAGCGCGCCGCGCCTGTTAAAAAATTCGGAACTAGGCAGCGGCGTACGGACATTTTTGGGCAGGGCGAGGGAAAAATCTTTTCTTCCAAGGAAGTAACGCTGGATTCCAGGGGAAAAAACGACCTTCTAATTGACCCACCAGCAACCTCCTCATTTTTAACGGTTATCGAGCCGGACCCGGGGTAAACACGGGCGATTCCTAATAGTGCGCCTCAAAGAGTTTGCGATGTGCTTACCAATCACAGGGCGCAAAATCTGTCGACCCTTTCCAAACGCCATTGGGTCGACATATTTCGCGCACTGTAATTGGCCCACGCGTTGAAAACTCTTGGGGTGCATTATTGTGAAACGCCCGTATTGTGGCACGACTCGTGCGCTCTTTATTTTTTAGCAAACCATCTTGGGTATCTTGGGAAGTCAAACAAAACTCAGAAGAAAATCAAGACAGGGAAATGATCAATACACAGAAATAAAACACCCTTCACAAAATTTGAAAATCGAGGGCAAACATACTCTTTTGGACTGAAACCCTGCAGAACTACCTGAATGTCCACACTTAAAAGGCTACTATCTGAATGACAAAAACTGTTCAAATTAAGAAGTGAAAGTGTTCGTTCATGCACGGTTCGTGTTCATGCTATACCTCCATGTCTAAACTAACAATAAGAATGGAAGAGTGTCAACTGACATAAACCCTCATTTATTGAATTAAAAAAATTAGTTTCATTAGTTTCAAGCCATTTCCAGTAGGACAAACCAAATCACAAATCAGTTCATCAGTCACATGAAATTACAGCCCCTCTTTACAGCATAAAATGGACCTACACTTTATACTGACGAGCCCATTCCATTAACAATAACCATGACTTTAAAATGCCCCTAAAATAAAGTTTAAAAACCTGTCTTTCTAAGAAATTTTTTGGCAACCACCCCATAACTTCAGCACACCTAACCACAAGCAAGTCTTCATAAAACAGAGTTTATTTAAAGCCCCTTTGTAAAATTCTTCAGCAAAAAAGACATGGTAATTTACAAAACTTACAACATATGTGAAACATTCAAATTGATATCATCTTCATGAGAGGTACCCCCCCAAATAACAGGCACACTGCAGTGATTAAGGAAAAAATCTCCTTGAGAATGTACAAAATTTAGGTGTTAAAGCAGTGGCATTCGTCAAAAAACATCAACATTGAGTACTAACGTTGACACTAGTGGTGTATTTACTTAGTACATCTACGCTGCAAACTAGCTTCAGGCATTATGCAGTGCTTTTATTTGCAACTGTGAGAAAACAGACCTAACATGTATCAATGTTTAAAAAACAGCATCACACCTGCCAAGGCATAATGAATAATCCTTAACAATCGGTTCTGCCGTAATTATAAGTGAGCTCTTTCATTCCAGAGAGTAAAACTAGGGACCTGATGATTTAGACTGAAAAATTCTCTATGCTTTGGTTGGGAGGGTTCTGAAAGGAGTCTCCAAGTTGATACGTAAGTGAAATCTTGACCAACTGGTGCAAGGAAGGATCCAGCGCCACATATTTTAATTTTCATGGGGGGTGCAAACTTCTTTTGGGGAGAAAACTTTGGAAATTTATTCATGTAATCTTTTGCGGCCTTTCGTAGGGTTGAAGATTTATTTGGCGTCTACCATCTTTTTGCAGGCTTTTTGAAGGAAGACAAACGGAATAGGCCAAAAAATTTGCCGTATGATATTTTTTTAAAAGAATGCTTCAGGCTCATGGGGGATCTGCCCTTGTACTAGTGTGAGAGATTTTACCTCAATTCAGCTTATCCCCATTTTCAGTAAGAATGAGTGGTTTGTGTTTTTTTTTCGTTTCAATAGAGCAAAATTTTACTCTTTGGAATCTGGAGAGCTCTCAAGTAAACAGTCACATCCTGTGGATTTCTGGTCATGCCTCCCACGGATGCAAATTGTGCAGAAGTCTCCTGAGTGCCTTTCAAGAATATTCGGCATCCACAAAGAATGACGGGTCCCCTCGGTACAGACCATGGTCTCGCAGGACCTTGGACTTGCTGTAGTGATCCCGCAAAGCGTCGCTGTGCAACTGCGCCTTATCCTCTTTCTCCATCTTGGCGATCATGCTGTTGTGCCAGCATTGCTCCTGCAGTAGCCGCTGTAGTTGCCTGAGCGGCATTCAGGGAGGGGAACAAAAAGGGGCGGGGAATGAATTTGTTGCAAATGATGCATTTATAGGTCTATAACTGTGCCGTTCAAGCAAGCGGTTGATATGACCCCTGATGAAAGTATGAAATTACGAAAGTAATCCGAAACCAGAAATGTAAATCATTAGTGCGGTGACCTTATGCTCACATGCCGCACATTTGTTTTTAAAGCAATAAACATATTAAATGTATGATTAGGAGTTTATTTTGCAATGCATGCATGGGCAAAAAAAAGGAATCTTCGAGGCTTCGTGGCAGCGACTGCAACTTTTGCACGGCTACTTACTTTCATTGAACGGAGAGAGCTTACTTGAGCCAATGCAATTAGCCATGATATTAGCAGTTAAAGCTTAATTTGGTTATGGTGGCTCCCTTGATCCATGTTAATTGCCTCCAGCAACGCCAAGGAAAGACGATGAGTGTTGAAGCGAGGTAAGAGAGTCACGAGAAATGAGAAAGGACCTGTCCACCCAAAAAAATCCCAGTCAAGAAAAAGATAAAACTGGAAGAGCACTCACCAGCGCGGTCGTGATGGCAAAGCAGGGGTGATGTGAATGGTTGTGCAAACTCATGGAATGTTTTGTGGGAAAAGTGATCATGTAAGGCAAACACAGGTGTAAACGGCTTGGCTCGAGCTTTCACGCTTTACATTAAGTTGGCAGTGAGGGGGACCACAAAAGTGACGAACTCAAACAAGTTGCGGCAGGGATAAAAATCAGCCACAAATTACAAGAGAGAGATAACTGAATAGATGATTAATCGATACAATATTCAGACTAACATCTGTTTGCAATAGTTCTGTAATCTTTGTCCTTTTAACTCACACAGAAGTTAAGAAATTATGAGGACCACTGAAGGAGATTTTACAGGCATGCCAAATGCCAACGCACACCGTGAAATGTATCTAGGATCTTCATTTTAAACAGAAAACTAAACTTTCTTTGGAAAGCATTTACACAACTTTAGAAATATATAGTCATTTAATATATTAATTTAATTTACACTAAAAACAAAATACAAAACTAAATGTGAAAAAAGACCACACAATATTAAACATAAACTAATTAATTTTACAGATTAAGGATTTGTATTGCATTAAAACTCAATAAATCGTTCCTACAAATCAGTAGCAGGATGGCAATCCATATCATCTGTTTGCAAGAATATCAAAGAGCTGTTTGATTTATAATTCTCAAGGAGATTTTTAGAACTCTTATTTACAGAATTTAATTTGATGTCCTTAGACCTTTGAGATCATTCACGATAGATTATATCAACGATTGTCATTTTTCTGTTACATATCGCTGCATGTCTCTGACAACCATTAATGCCAAATAGGATTTTATCATCAGTGACAGGTAAAGGAACTCCTTCAAATGTACATAACCACCTTGTTTTGGCTTGGAAGTTTTCAACAACTCCAAGGTCATCCACATTGGTAATTTGAAAAAAAAACCTTCGTTTTAATTATGCCTAGGCACAATGACCAGCAACGTTATCAATCAAAATAGCATTTTACAATCTCCAAACATCATGACAGAAATTTAAAAGCAAAATTCAAATATAAAATATAAATGATTATGGATGTTCTTAGCTAAAACAGGATCTTTAGGGAACTGTGGGTGATCTTTCAATTACTATTCAGTGAGGCGTGGGTAAAGCACATTTTGAAAATCTTTCTATACACTTTAATATTTTCTTCCTTTTACTTGAAAACGTCTCGAGACATTGTTACATCTCCACTGTTAGTGTTTTGTTTCCTTGCTTGTAATGGTACGTCCGATTGGTCGACGTTGGCCTACGGGGATAAAACAAAAAGAAAAAAGAGGGGAGGAGGGGAAAGGAAAGAGTGAGTGTAATTGAGTGAGCCAGACTGCAGTGTGGAGGGGGGGTGGAATGAAGGTGTAGAAAGCATGTGGCGAGCTACAGTGGGAGTGGTTGTCTTTCAATATGGGCCATTCGCGATACCGTGCGCCACCAAGAGGTTGTCATGGAAAGGCCATTTTTCACTGTGCACAGTGGGAAATGGTTGACACTAGCTGTAGGCGGGGAACTTGAATTGTTTTAAATGTTTGTTTGTCGGAGAAGGAGGTTCGTCAGTGAAGTTTTGAGTTGCAGTTTCAATTGATCCTTTTTTTTTCCTTTCTATTGCACGGAATGTCTCCATCTGTCAAATGTTTCCCCAAGTTGTCTTCCGATGTATGCCCAAATGCAAATCACGGCAAGGAGACCATACTTTTGTTGACAGTAAACTTGAAAAAAATGGGCTCTCCATGCCACTGTCTAGGCGGTGCACTGTACTATGGATCACCCCTGATCATCTTTCAAACCTCTTTTGGAATCAGGGATGAGATTGATCAATGATTAAAAAGAGCTGAAAACAGCTGAAAAAGGCACAAAGAAGCTAAACCGGGAAAGTCTCCAATACTTTTGTACATGTCCAGTGAGGAAAAAAAGCTGAAATCCAAAACAAAAGAAGCCGAAATCAGCCGAAAAGCTGAGAAATTTCATCCCGTTGAATACTGCAAATTGCAAAATGACCAACTTGGACCTCTTTCTTTCCCCAGCAATACACTGTGCCATCCTCCTACTCCTTGCTCAAGGTCACAACTCTGGAAGTTTCAGGATTCAAACTCAATTTAGAACTGCCACCTAGGAGGTATTCAGACATGTCAGAGGGGCCCAAGGAGGGCCATCCCCCACAAAAAAGGTTCCACACTTTTTTTTGGAAAAGTAATGAGGAAAAAGAGATTTCTTCTCCTTGTTTGTCTAGTTCATTCCCCTCTCTTCAAAAAGCGTGTAAAAAGTCCCAAAACATACATATTTGTAGCCTCCCCCCTCAGAAAGGCCACAAAAAGTTACACAAATAGATTTGGAAACTTTTGGCCCCCCCCCAAAAAATAAATAAATATGGCCCTCCAAAAACTTTGGTTCTGGACGCACCTTTGATTGCCACTTTGGTTTGTTTCGCCAAAATAGCAGCTCATTACATGTCAAGTGTCTTGGTGGTTTTTTTTCAAAGAGGTACTTTTCAATGACGATCAACAAAAGGCAAGTCTGAAAAAGTTAGTTGTTAATAATGTCATGGTGATGATGACAATAATTTTCTGAGCTAGAATGATGGTCACAGATCAAACCTATGACTAGGGCGATAAAATGAGTGAGATGGTAAAACAATAGGATTGGTTTCAAATGAGCCTGTTCAGTACTTCAAAAAGCCGTCTTTGGGAACAACGCATGCACGCGAGTCAGCGTATGGCTGTGCTGATAGGACTATCACGTACGCGTGTGGCTGATCCCGATAGCCTCGTATTGGGCTCTGTTGGAATACCGAACTCGCTCATTGAAAATGCACAAGCATGTGTTGGAGGCAAAAACCAAACATTGGCTTAGTTCTGACTTTATCTCGTTCCTGGAACCATTTTTCAGGATTACTTTTTGGGCAATTTGATATTCTAACCTCATGCCAGGACCCCGAGTGTTGGCTTAAAACTAAAGGATTCTATGTTCCGATGGTGAATGATAAAGCTGGAGTGTCAGAAGCCAGGGGATCAGAGTGATGCCTGATTTTGACCCCACGGACAAATCCAAGGTTTGGCAAACTCTTGGAGGAAGTGATACAATGAAGGAGTCATGATACGTGCAGTGGACACTACAAGTGCAGAGGTTGACATTTCTCATGGAATTTTCATGTTTGCTGTCGTCAGAGCTAACATCTTTGATCGCTAAAGTTTCCGGTTTTATGAACAAAAATGTTCAAAGGGGACATAATACGTTGGTTGGTTGGAAGATTTAAAATGAGTCTTCCGAGCCGGTATTAGGCCAAACAAAAAAAAAGCTGTGTTTCCGGTTAACCGACCAAACCTAGAAAATCATGTGGAACATAGATCTTTTTAGTCAACAAATCAATAAAATATAAAAACTTATGATGCCTTGCCCAAAGCCTAATTTTGTGTACATCGTGCTGTACACTGTATTGTTTTCATTTTTTTCACATGAGATGGACGGCTGTGTTTGTATTTCAACAACCAGTTGCTTTACTACTCACAGTGCTGATATGTAATATTGACATGCAAATGTACAGTATTAATCTGACACTGACTTAGTACCTCTTAAAATATATGAACCCCCCCAATGCAGACCATCATCTGAGCTAATTTTTTTGGATATAAAAATTTAGAGTAAAAAAAAACACCCTAATTTATTTTTCAGAGTAGGAAACACAACTATTTTTTTGTTTGGCCTTAGAACATCATTAGCATTCACACGCGTTCGTAGACCACACTGACCACACTTTCTAATTACACGTATTAATAGGACGCATGAAACAGTCTCTCAGCAAAATTCACCTGCCATGAATGTGCACTTGCATTTGTGTTGTTTACGAAGGACCATTTCTCATTGTGCATTCAGATTTTTGGCTCATCAATTTTGTTGACGCATCATTTCAGAATGCAGATGAAGATACGCAAACAGTCATACAAAAGCTGTCCAAGATCTGGAGGTAGATGCGTCAAGCAGCTTTCACTTTGCAAAGTGAGTTAGGCACTCCAGCACTTTAATCACAGCTCTATGATTAGGACCTTCAACAGTGGAGACGTAAAAAAAGAGAGAAGCTAGCAGCTGCATGGGTTAGTAATAGACACTCTCCTGAGAGACACTCACTGCTCACGTTCCCTGTAGGAGTTCTTGATACCGCTTTTGTCTCTCGACTGGATCTGCTTTTGGAGGGCTTTTTTGCGATTATCTTCCTCTTGCTGTTTCTCGTAGGCCTGTTTTGCCGCCAACTCAGACCTCAGTCTTTCTGCTTCTGCCTGTAAAATGTATCCGGGCAAATCAAATATAGTAATTTTAGGCACTCAATTAGAGCAGAAATAAAACTGGAAATCATGGCATGGAAGTATTTAACATGATACATGCAAGCTCCAAGTTCAATTATTTCATTTCCCATTCAGCATGACCAATAAATCTTCAAAGTTGGCACAAACATCTGACAATAAAAAACACATATGTTCTTTCTACCCCTAATAATCAAGAGGCTAGGCCTACACTTCTCCAAGATGGCGGCAAAATCAGCCCCATAATTCTAATGGTATAGTCCTTCCCAAACTGATCTTGACCACCCTTTAAACAAAAACACACTGAAATTGAATTGTCACTCAACTGATCATGCCACTTGCTCAATCAAGCATGCTGAGTACTAGCCCCACAAATTGGGCTGTAGTGGCTCTCTTTTACAATCTGTCTCTTATCTGTCGTCACCACAGTCCTACTTCAAACACCTGAAATCCAAACTGCAGGATTGTCACAAACTTTGAACCCTAATATCTTCCGAAATGAGAATGACTCAACAGTTTTACCTACATCAGCACATTCCTCAGAGTTTGGACTTTCATACGAGCACCCTAAAGCTTTCCAAAATCGTAAATTTTCCGATGTATGGTGCCTTGAAAAACCCAGCCTGAAGTATTACATGCTGACCACCGGCAGCGCCATCTTCAAAAAATGAAGGCAGTGCTTCGTGCATCAGAAGTCAAGGCACCCAACAGGTGCCGTAGATGTATAATTCATGTTGTCACAGTATTGCCTAGAAATAAGTTGCACGCACACTTTGCTAGTGTACAGTCCGCCCACAGCACGTGTGTGGAGCATGATACAGTAACATGCATATTAATGTTATTCAAATTCAATTTCACCGGTTCCTTGTTCGTCTGCCTTGTGCCTTGAAATCCGACGTAAGAAGTGCTGCTTCCATGTTTCAAAATGGCGCCGCCCGTGGTCGGCATGTAATACTACAGGCTGGGTTATTCAAGGCGCCATACATCGGAAAATTTATGATTTTGGAAAGTTTTAGGGTGCTCGTATGAAAGTCTAAACTCTGAGGAATATGCTGGTGTAAGTAAAATTGTCGAGTCATTTTCATTTCGGAAGATATTAGGATTCAAAGTTTGTGACAATCCTGCAGTTTGGATTTCAGGTATTTTAAGACATGCCTTGAAGTAGGGCTGTGATGGTGACACATAAGACTTAAGAGACAGATTGTAAAAGAGAGCCACTACAGCCCTATTTGTGGGGCTAGCTGAGTACTGTGCTAAATTATTCCGGAAGAGTATACAACACAGAAACTGTTGCAAACTGCTTACTCGTTTACTAGCTACGGTGACAAAAATATAGGGTTACAATTTAAAAGTAAGGAGGCCGACATGACATCAAAGCAAAGTCGCTCTCGAAGCCTAGCCTAACAGTAACAGGCCTAAGGCAATTACTCTAAGCTTCAGCCTGCCAGACAGGTAGCCAAGTCACAGAGGGCGTCACAGAGCAATAGAACTTAGAAGTTAGAAAGGAAGGCAAAGAACGCCGCGAACACACTCACTAGTTTTTCGGCCTCTAGCAGCTTAGCAGCGTGTGCCTTGTCCACCTGACGCTGTCTGAATCTCGCTTCCCAATGGTATGCCATTTGACTCATCTTGAAGAATTTTCCTTCAATCTTGATGAGGAAAAATTCTCAAAATATGAGAGTCCACCAGTTCAACCCGCCACTTGACGACAATGAAGTTTCTTAACTTTAAAGGTCGGCGACCTTCTCTATGGCAACGCTTAAACTATTTTGAGCGTGCACTACGTGATAAACTAATTTGATTTAATTAGAAGAAATAATATAAAGAAAATTAAGGAAAGCAATAAAATAACATTTCACATTCAATAATTATGAATCAAATCAGAAAAATATATTTGAAAGTGGAAAGTTATGAAACTTTGCATTGGTCCTAAAGTACACGTTATATTAATTAAAGTGGAATTCGATGGAGGGCGCACTTGCTCTGAGTGGGCAGTCGATCCTCGCAAAGGTGGCATCGCGTGCATGGGGCATGCTGCTGGTGCGGAGGGGGACCACAGCTTAGTTTTGTGAATCTCCTCCCACAATAACTTGAAGGTGCTAACCAGTCATTAACCAGCATTCAATTTGTTTTCCTCCACCCAAATGAGATATTATTCAGACGATGGCGATGAGTGCGTGGTCGTTTGTTTTCCATATTGACCAGAAAGTAAAGGAGTCAATTGAAAAGCTGGGAACAAAGGGTGTGGTCCATAGAGGAAAGCAGGTGCGCGAGGACAAAATAAGAGTCCAAGATGGATGACATGTATTTTGCATACGCGTCACGAAGGGGAATGCTTACCCCCCCCCCCCGCACTATTGTGAATCGCCCGTATTATTGACCCCTCCCCGGCCAAGGGCGGATCCAGACCCAAATTTGCGTGAGTGTGTGGGTGTGTGTGTGGGAGGGGATTACCCTTTGGGGATGTCAAAACAATTTGGAAACGCTTTCATATAACCTTTCATGGACTTCCTGGGGGTGAGGCTACTTTTAGATTTTTTACATGCTTTGGGAAGGAAAAGAGTAAAATCACCTACTGTATCTCATATTATTTTTAGAGAAAAAATGACTCCCTTTTATGGGGGAGAGGGACAGATGGCCCCCGTTAGCCCTATGGGTCCGCCCTCTTTAATGGTTTCTATTGAGTGCCCCCCACCCCAAGGAAATCCTGGGGAGGATGCCTACACCCCCTCCCCAATGTAAACGGCAAATTTAATTCATTCACAAAACCTTTCTTTAGAACAGGGGCCCACTCACCTATATACAGCAAGAAATGAGACCGGGAGGGGTCTCCCCCAACATGTCCAATCCCAATTCTCACTCTAGAGTATTGTTACCTAACACGTCCCCCAGATGTCTGAAAAAAAGTCCTCAGATTCCAGTGAAACAATGACAACCACAAAGTAGGGGGGCGACTCTGTCTCATATCTTGCTTCATATGCACTCACCAATGCAAGTCTCTGTTACAAAAGCGGGGGGGGGGGCTTTATTCTGAGGAAAAAACTCAATTGTGCTGTTGCAATGAAGGTTGGCAAATGCCAATCGAAGGCATTATAGTTCCTGGGTATCTGACATTCCACCCTGCAGCTGGGGGAATAATGCTCGAAACTTGAAATTGAGATACGCCAATTTCGAAGATCACTTTTACCCTCAGGTGTGTAAAATATATTGGAGTATTCTTATTCTGGAACTTGCTTTCATGTCATTTATTATGCGTTGCTTGTGCCCTAGAGGCCGAGTTCTTTGTTATTTCAACTTAATTCACAGTGAATGCACAAAATCGTTCACCTGAGCCTATATCTTAGTGATCCAAAGCCCGCGATCGCGCTATGGCAACGTTAATCTCTAATTTCCTAATCGAAATTGCAGAGTCATAATACCCATGAAATTTCATCTAGTGGTAAGCTCGGTATCTGAAATTTACTCCAACTGCAGTTATGAGCCTATGGCGGTTGTGATCGTCCTGTTACTTTGAGTTCGTTCATGACCTACTCTCACCGGTATCGCACGCGCTGCGTCCTCAAAACTTTCACGACAAACTTGAGGATGACGATGCCCTGGGAAAGCTTGTAAGCGAAATCAAGATTTGAGAAGGAATGTCAAAAATTAAATTTACCAAATCTTGATAGCCAAATTTTAAAAATCTAAACTTGGTCAGACCATTTTAAATATCTACTGCTGATTTGTTAATTTCAATTTCTACAAGATATCAAAAATAATGAAACTCCCAATCGATAGAGGGCGTTCTAGAGGACGGGTTTCTTCAGTTGGAACGCAGGAGCATAACTGCGCAGAACGTAACCCGATTGTGTTTGACATCGCGCATCATGCATGTCACCATTATGTGTGCATGTGCACGCGGGATTCCCACTGAAAGAGAAAAACAACAGAAAGTTTTTTTACTTCATTTTTAAATAAGTCGTCTTCACGTTTGCTGATGAATTTTTAAAACAGTAGGGGAAAGAAGGACCTGTTTTACTTGTGTAAGGTAGGTGGTGTTCGTTGGAGGCGATCTAGTGAGCTTTTTGATGATTTGTTTCAGCTACTGCGTCGACTTTGTCATGAAATTGTACTGCGTAACGCGAGCACTTCCTACTCGCATTTGTTGATTTTTCGGAAAGTCCTTTCTTCGATCACGAGGTCAAGTCGCGCCAAAATCGCTGCCTTGTACTTCAGAATAATCCTCAAATCTTAAGCTGTTATGTCAGTCTTTTCATTGATTTATATTGAAAAGCAAACCTTGCGGAATGTGTCGCCTGTCTTTCTTCTTGTCACATTTTTTCCTTTGCTCGTGAGGCCCCGAATTTCTAGCGGCATGTTGGGCCTACATGCAGACATGTGTAATGTTTGTTTGTTGAACATGGCGGGGAGGGATTTTAACATGTCGTGGGCGATTTTAACATGTTCGTTATGTTCACTCATTATTCACTTAACTTCAATGTTCATTTTTGCAAAGCACCGATTTGCTGTATACCAAGAGGGAGAGAATAGTCAAAGGAAACTGGCGGAGTGAAATTTTTTTAGCCTATTTTTGTGGGGCATTATTGGAGGAACATGTCAAAAGGATGTGCATGTGGCTGGTGACTAATTTTCACATGATGAAATAGGTTGAAATCTGATGTGTGGAATTTGGGGTTGCTGTTATTTAGTCGCTGTCAATTTATTCCTTCAGTCTTTCAGAAAATAACCATGTGACCATTAGCTTCCTGTTCAGAATTGTCTTTTTTGTTTTGTAGGCTATTTACAAATATGATTTTGTGAACTTGTCACATTTGCGTCATCACAATTATGAAAATTTACATGGCTTGTTTTTCTGCAAGAACACCCACAAAAATTGGCAAACAAATTACCCTTCCCTCCAAAAGTGGCTGTTTTAGTCTTTCGGTATCACGTAAAAGGGAATTTCATCTGCACATTGACATCTGTTTTTCTTTTTCAATCAGACTTCTCAAAATCAGAACATGAGCAATTGTTAGATTGTCGTGTCGTCAAATCAGGGACGCTGTCTCACTTCCCAGAATCTCTGAAGTGCTGGATTTTGCGAGGGTCTTGGAAGATTGTAGTGGAAATCACAAGCTGACGTTTATCTCTTCTCATTTTAGGCCACCAGTTGCGTTACACTGTGTATCTGTTACACCCCAACTGTAGCGTCGGTCCCAACAAACTGTCATCTTACAGTCGGGCTGTCTCAATGGTGGTCAGCAAATTTATATAAAAAATAAACTTTACATCCAAGTTTATGCTGCTCACACTAGACGTAATTTATCCAGACTTTGCCACCTGGAATGAAACTCTTTTCTGCAAGCACGAATTGTTGATACAAATGAAATGAATTTGGCACATGCTATGGCACTCTGTGTAGTTGGGCTGCACAACTGTAGGACTCGAGTTGGGATTGATGCTATAATTGGGGCGCGTATTTGCTGCTCAGGAACTGAGCATACTCACATGAACATGTACATGTATATAACTTGTACACGACGCATAACCCAACACTATGGCTTTACATTCAATCAGTCTTGGCCCTGTCACTCTATCGATGAGAGGAGTTTAACTTTCTCTGTAACACATGCATTCAGGGGAAAAAAGCAAAGTAGAGAGACTGAACTTTGAGAACTGTACCATACCATCACTGGAACAGCTTCTGTAGTGCGGAACCTTCCAGAAAAATTCCAAATTCTTTACTGTAGACTGTAGTTACCATTGGCCTATTTCTTGTAATGTTTAGAGCATCAGGCTTAATGTAAAAGTTCTAGTGGCTCTATTCACTTGTCATTATCTAGTTAAATTGTTCCAATTTCCTGATGAAATTTTAAGGATCTGAGAAGGATTAAAGGAAGGATGGTTCTACTGAGAGACAGGGTTGTAAATTTTGGTCCAAATCAAAAAGAGGAACAATTGTTAAACTGAACTTCTCTGAATTTGAGGAAGGTGTGGGGAACACAGACATGTGAAACACCATGTGAAAGAATTCTGTCTGAAGAATCCGGTTTGAAGAACTGATGAGAGGCAGTGTTTGTCCGGGGCACTGCCTCAGTTTTTGGCTTCAGAGAATGTGAGGCTGAATTCGGTTTTGCCTTGATGAATCCGTTGAAGACTTCAGTGCTTGCTTGGATTTTTTTTTCACAACTGAAATCACTCAGTTTCCACGATGAAGATATCACTTGGTGTGTGCTTGTTCAACAGGTCCACCAGCGAAGACTCCGGATTCAAAATTCACCAAGATGGTGAAATGAGAAAGTCTTTTCCTGAAACCAAAATCTCAAAAGAGTGGGCTGTTAAGCTAATTGGTTGTCGTGCCCGAAGGCCATTATTCGTGATGGGCGGAATGGGCCATTGCCTCATGTCCATGGGATCCTTGTGGGGGAGAAGAACCGAGAGAGCAAAAACCTAAACACTGTACCGAGCACATCATGGGCAGTGGCAACCGTTGTTAGCACTGAACTTTGCCGTTGAACAAATCGTAAGTTGCATGTAAACAGGCAACAGAACGTGTATGAAAGTGTGCTGCCGTTCGTCAAAAAAGAACATTGCCTAGATGTGCACATGGGTCGCTCATTTGTGCTAATGGGACAACCTGTACATGGGGTTGCTTTAAAGGTGCTTCATTACACATGTCAATTTTTTTCTTCAACTTGCATCAAATCAAAATACCAGTAACGTACAGAATTGACCCACACAGCTTTTTACAAATGTTTCATATCGGGTACTGAATGTATGTGTTGGTCTTGGACGGAAGATCATTTAATGGTAGCCATGGCAACAATTCATGCATAAGTGTCATTTCTGGTTCTGCCAAGCGGTACCCTTTTATTGCCATCATGTAAAAATGAATTTTTGTCCTGGGGAAAATGTGATGTGAAGAACCTTTTTTCACCATTCACTCTTACACTGTGAAACTCACTTGGCTCTTTGTTCAAAATAAACTTCATCTGTAAATACAAGGAAAGATGCTATTCATAAACGTGGCACATTTTACATGGTACATGTACATAAACATACATGTACATTTCAACAGGAGTGCCACCAGTAAACATTACACCTGCACATGTTTCTTTCATGTGCAACATTTACCCATATACATGTATATACATACATACCTG